TTCAGCTACGCTATTCACGTAGCTGAATTTGCGTATCTTAAATCGACTCCCCCCTGTAGTGTAGATGTAGCCTTAGGTAGCTATTGCACAGCTATAGGCAGACTTGAAAAGATTAGATTTTTATTGCTAAATGTAGATTACACCGTACCCACACAAACATAGGAAAAAATATTTCCCTCGATGATAACTGAAATTTACAGATGGGCCAAGTAAGAAAAATGCAGCTTGAGAACTTATTAGAGTTTGATTTAAGGATATTTACTTTATATATTTTGACATGTGATAGTCACAGTTTCAGGGTAGTTACACTACTATGCCCCCACTCTCTGGTCCATTGCAGGAGTTCCCAGTCAGTCTCTGGGCCCTGTTTTTAGTTCCTGGAGAAGCTGTGGCCCACAGTGATACACAAATGTAATACAGCATGTTCCCTCAAATATACTGCATGCAGTTACATTATCTGTCACAAGGATGTTGACAATTTGTTTTAGCATCTATCAAGCTATAACTTTTTGAATCTCAACGTCTACTGTCATTGCATAATTATTGTTTGCCTCCCTCCCATAATTTTCCACAACCATGAAAATTTAAATAAATATAAATCAGGGGGAAATGCTTAAAAATAACCATCAAAATCATCTGTTAAAATTATAAAAAAATAATTGAATTCTGCAAAACCTACTTATAAGGTTCAAAGTAATCCTACAGCTTTATATTTAATAAATAAAAAAAATCTTTCCTTAACTATGTCACAACTTCACCTTCATTGGCATGGCTGATAACATGCAGGCACTGCACCAGAAGTGTGTCTGAAGGAGGAGAGAGTAAAGCTGGGGGGTGCTCCATACATAAGGGACAGAATAGAAAAAAGTGCTGAGGGATTTTCATAATTGAGGAGCGGGGAGTGGGAGCAACATATTGAGATAAGCAGAAAAGTAGAGAGGAGCACAGCTGGGAAGGTTCTTGAAGGTGGAGTGAAGAAACTCGAACACAATTCATTTGATAAAAGTGGAAGGATTCAAAGAATGGGATGACACAGTCAGAGTGAACCAAAATATTGTTAACAGGTACATCTTAAAATGATCAGTGTGGGCAACATTTTTCAGAAAGGCCAGAGAGAAGGAGGTTGCAGAAGTCAGGACATCTTGGAGAAGATACCAGACAGGGATTGGAAGGATGGAGACCAGTCAGGAAAGGAAAGGTACATTGATATATCATCAGCATAGAGATGCTACTTGAGGCTATGAGTGTGTATGAGAAAAGAGGAGGGGGTCAAGGCACCCAATTTGATTTTGGCCTAACCATCTAAATCATAGTACATACATCTGTAGATACTTTGCAGCACCCACTTCTATATCTGGATCTTTTTAAAGGTCTTACTTACTTGAATTTGAAATTATAGTCCTCATCAAGAACACACATTTTTCCCCCAAGAGAGAAAGTCTTTGTTATTTTCCATTTTCTTGGTTGATCTACAGAATAGCACATACAGCTCCTTGCAGAAGTCATCACTATGAATTTTCCTAACATTTCCTTGATAGAAACCCTCATCTCTGCCATAGCCTATTTGACTAGCCCCGACAATCTTAGGGGTATTCTACTGCATCACAAATGCAGAGGGAAAAAAAGAGTCTTTAATTTGAACACGATTTGCAACTCTCTCTCAGAACTCTAGTGCTAATAAATTGATACATCAGTGCTCTTTCAGCATTATGAGAGCCATATGTGTACTCTTCTCAGAAAATAATGCTTTCGGTAAAATCACTTTGAACAGAAAGTGCTTATGCTGTCACTTCTGATTACTCACAGCCTCATCACAATAGGGTTTGCCACAGCACAAAACAGACTTAGCTGTATTTGCTGACCAAGGGACTACTTTCTCCTGATGCATGAAGCACTGATGGAAATATCAATGTTTATATCTTTCTACTTAAAATTTTTAAACAAGTGTGGTATATTTATCTAATCAAATGTATCTGTAATAATTACCGATTAGCAGCCAATAAGGCTTAAGATCTTTTACACACATATTTTTAGATCTGTTTAAAAACATACATCATCTTGATTGTAGTCAATGATGGTGTCTTCCGCAGCATTACACTGCCATTAGCTGTGTATAAACCAAAGGTATTAATTTTAATTGAGCCTTTACTGAAACCAATTTTGGTCCAAATGAAATCAATATGAGTTTTGCCATTGATTTCAACAGGATTAGATTAAAGTTAACTAGGAATCTTAATTATATTTTTAAATAAATATTCTTTTAATTTGTAAATGTAAAGATTCCTCCCACATAAATAATTACACATGGAGAAATGTTAAACAGCAAAGGTACTGGGACATCCAACCAGTTAATCAGATAGGATACATTATAACCAGTGCTTTAACAATAAATATGCCGCGCATTTCTAGGTCATTGTAGCATATCTTGTCTAGTATTATGACAGGAAAACAAAGGCATAATGATTCTAACCACCTAAGCATAATAATCTCCTAGAAATAGACAATTAAAAGTGTGTTATGAAGGGAAATGTACAAATAACTCTGAAGAATCTGTCGATATGAGGCATAAACTAGGCACTGTCATTAATTTTACATCATTCACCGCCAATGCTAACTCTATTAATGTCCAGATTTCTATTTCTATTCTATGGGCCATATCTCACTAGTTTTACAAAAGCAGTCAATTCCACTGAAATCAATGGGATCACTTCAGGATCTAACTCTGCAAAGTCTAATGCATATAATCAACTTTACTCACCGATTCATCCCATTAAGTTTAATGGGATTACTTGTGTACCTAAATATTTGCA